ACCTAAGTAATGTTTAGTTGCTTATAACGTCGGAAAATAATAAATTATAACGACTAATATCCCGTATGTCGAATTCTTTGAGTTTTTAGATAGAGTTTAATTATCAAGGAGTCTGGTTCATTTTCTGATTTTAATATTGTCGGTTTTTGTGTTAGTTTTGTAAGACTTTACAGGAATTCGTGAGTCATGAAGACCAACCCTTAGGAAAACGTGCTAAAGACGTAGTTAGCCGCACCGTACCTCCGTTAGTCGGACCACCGTAACGACTCCACAATCTAGGGTCCTTTACGAAAGTATCGCCGGAAATCGGAGTAATCGTAACAACCCAGGACACAGAAAGTGAAGAAGAGTGTTATGGGGTGTTTTATAAGGATACCCCAGTCAGTCCCCTTAAAACGTCCGGTTAGCTCCTGTCATTAACGGACCAGTCATTGTCAATGACCACCAAAACCGTAACCGTCCACCGTCTAGTACGACCTTTTTACTTTAAGTTATGTAGTAGGTTTCTCGTATAATAAGTCGTTTCTGCCCTTCGTACATATCAGAATTTTCTTTTTTAGGGGGAAAAAAGGGGAAAATAAACCATTTTTTGTGTTCTTTCGTGGAAAAATAAAATAACGGTTTTTTTTAAATTGAGGACCCCTGTGGGGAACTTCTTTTACTTTTTTTTTTTGGGGGGTATTGTCACCCCCCCCTTTTTGGTTTTGGTGGTCCCGGGGGGGGTTTCGAAAAAATGTTTACCGGGCGAGGGGGGTTTTTTGGTTAGGGGGGCGGAAAAACCCCCTTTTTTGAAAACACCCCCCCTTTTTTTTTTTGAAAAAAGTTTTTTTTTTTTTTTGTTTTTTTTTGACCCTAAAAAAAAAAAGGTTCGGGAAAAAAAAAAACCCTTAAAAAAAACCGGGGGGGAAGTAGAAGGTCGGAAAAGGAAAAGAGGTGGTCTTTGAAAGGGACCGGCGGAGGGGAAAACTTTTTTTTGGAAAGGTTTACTTTTTTATGGTTTTTTTTTTTTTTGAAAAAACGGAAAAAGGCCCAAAGACCTTTTTTTTTTCTTTCCCTTTTTGAAAAAAAAAAAACCCTTTGGGGGGTGAACAACCCCGTTTTTTTTTTTTGAAACAGGGGGTTGTCAACCCCCCGAAAGGAAAAAGGGGGGGGAATTTTTTTTCCGGGTTTTTTTTTCCCCATAGGTTTTTTTTTTCTCCGGGGGGGGAAGGAAAAAAAGGCAAAAAACAAAAGGGGGAAAACTTTTCCAAAAAAAAAGGGCTTCCTATTTTTCCACCCGAACTTGGGGGGTTAAACCCTTTTTTTTTTTTAAATGCCGATTTTTTTTTTAAACATTGTTCGGGTAACAATGGGTCGTCCTTGTTTGCAAAAAGAAAACAAAACTTTGTTCACTTTTTGAAAAAAAAAAAAAAAACCTTATTGGGAACCTGAAAAGGTTTTTTCGGAAAAAAAGTCAAAAAACAGGGGGTTTTTGAAACAGAAAAAAAAAACCTTCTTTTTTCGGGAGGTTTTTAAAAGAACCCCTTTTTGTTCGGCTGGGGAGGAAAAAAAACAGGAAGGGGTTGGTTTTTTTACGGGGAAAAACAAATTTTTTTTTCCGGACCGCCAGTTTAGAAAAGGAAAAAAGAAAACCAAAAAAAACACGTTTTTTTCGCTCAAGGGTAGCGGTGTGAATAAAAGGTGGCGAAGGGTTTTTGTCTTTTTGGAAAAAAAATAAACAACCTACCACGGGGAAAAACTTTGGGAAAGGCCGTCGAAGGAAAAAACAACTTTTTTCGAAAAAAACGAAAAAAAGGAAAAAAAAACTCTTTAAAAAGAAAAAAAAAAAAAAAAAAACACAGGAATTTTGGGGAAGGAGGACTTTTTTTTTTTTAAAAAACCCTCCCAAACCCAGGTTTACTTTTTTTTTTGCCCAGGGGGGGGGGGGAAAGAACCTTTTTTGTTTTTCGTTTTTTCAAAGGGGGGGGGGTCTAAGTCGGTCAGGGGGGGGAAAGGGGGGTTTTTTTTTTTCTTCAATTTTGAAAAAACCAAACTCAATCAAAGAACTTTTTTTTTTGGGGGGTTCGGGGAAAAACATTTTTTTTCACCCCCAAAAAAAAAAAAAAAGGTTTTCCGAATTCCCTTTTTTTTTTGGGGAAACCGTCCACCAAAAAAAAAAGGCTCAAAAAAAAAAAATTATCTGCTAAAAAAAAAAAAAGGGGTTTCACTTTTTTAAAAGGCAAACTTTTTTGTTGGGGGGATGATTTAATACTTATTTGAAAAAAAAGTTTTTTTTTTTGACTTTTTTTTTATAAAAAAGAATTTATTAAAAATCTCCTTTTATCCTTTTTTTTTTTTTTTAAAAAAAAAAAACCTTCAAAACAAGGGAAAAATTCGGGAACAATTTTTACGGGTATTTTTAGTTTTTTTCGGTTTAAATTTATTTAAATTTTATTTCCGAAACGTTTATAAAAAAAAGGGTCAACTAAAACATACTTTTTTTTTTTTTTTTTTTTTTTCAGTCTTTAAAACAAATTACTTTTGGTAAAAAAAATAAAAACAAAAAATAAAAAAAAAAATAATTTTCCTAAGAATGTTTTTTCTTTTTATTTTCCTTTGAAAATTAGGTGTTTTTTTATTTAAGGATTTTTTAAAAAAAAAGAAACTCTTTTTCAAGGAAAAACAATGTAATTCAAATTTTTTATTTTTTAATTTCTTTATTTTACCAAAAAAAAAAAAAAATTCAAAAAAACATTAGATTCCCAAAAAAAAAAAAATATTTTTTAACTTTTTTATAAGGGGAAAAATTTCCAAAACAAAAAAAAAATGTTACGGTTTCCAAAAAAAAAAATTCAACAAATTTTTAACCTAAGAACAGTTTTTAATTAAACTTAGGTTTCAAAAAAAAAATTTTTAAAGATTTTTTCTTTTAAACCCCTAATTTTTTATAGGATTTTTTGGTTTTTAAAAGGTTCGTACAAATTTTTGTAAAAAAAAATTTTTGTTTGATAACGAATTTATGTTTTCAATGAATTAAATTTAAATAAATTTCATAAAAATTTTTATTAAGGTTGGTAAAAAATTATTTATTGATTATTGTACAAAAAAAAAAAAAACTTTTTTTGTTAGGGTTTTACGTCGGAGTTGTCTTTTGTAATAAATTTTATTGAAAAAAAAACATAAGTTACAAAAAAACCAAAATAAAGGAAAATTTTACAAAACCAAAAAATAACCGGGTTCCAAACAAAAAACAACCGAAAACCCCTTTATAAAAAAGGAAAAAAAAGAACTTTTTTAACAAAACGTTTTTACGGGTTTTTTGGGGGGGGTTCGTTTTTGGGGGAAAACAAAAAAAATTTGAAAACATTTGATTTTAATCATTTTGCAAGTCAACAGGAAAAACAAGGGCACCCCAATCGTTCCCCGGGTTTTTTTTTTGGTTTAAAAAACCCAAAATGTTTTTTGAAAACTGCCGGTTTAACTTTTTTTAGGGTTATTTACCCATTTTCGGAAAAAGCATGCAAATTTTTTTTCTTTTCGTTTTACAGGGGGAAGGAGGAGGGGATTTTAAGGTTTTTGCTACAGGGGAATTTCTATTTATTTAAAAAAACTATTGCCTTAACCTTTCTACACTTAAACCTTTTTTTTTTTTACTTAAACCAAAATACAGAGGTTTTCCCAATTTTTTTTTTTAAGTTGGGGTGTTTTTTGCCGGGGTTCGGCTAACACACCCGGGCAAAGGCCTAAAGCCGCACCTTGCGAAAAAAACACCCCTCTTTTTACCGACCCTCGCAAAAAAAAAAGAAACAAACAAGGTTCCTCGTTTTTTTTTTGGGAATTTTGAGGGTTTGGACTTTTGGCTTTTTTCTTTTGGTTTTCAAAAAAAATTTTTTTAAGGGCTTGGGTTTCTTTTGCGGTGGGGCCCCTTTCAAGGAAAAAGTTTTTTCTTTTCTTTTGTTATTTTCCCCGTTCCTTTTGTCCATTTTGAGTTTTTTTTGCGGAAACAAAAAAAAAAAAATCTTATGACAATTTTTTTTCCAAAGGTAGTTGCAACAAAAAAAAAAACAAAAAAAATTATTGCAAAAAAAATTTTGCTTTTGGTTGGTTTTTTTTTTGGCAACACGGAAAACGACTTTTCCCGGGAGTAAACAGGAAAAGGGAAAAAGTTAAAAAAAAAAAGTATTGGTTTTTTTGAGAATAAAAAATGTAATTTACATTAGTTTTTTGATTTTTCCGGGGAGCATCACCCGGAAAAAAACTTTTTTTTTTTTTTTTTTTTAAAGAACACGGGTTAGGTTTTGGAAAAGGTTTATTTTACATTAAGTTTTTCTCAAAAAAAAAAAAACTTTCGTATCTCTTTTATCAAAATTGGGCCGGGGCAGGTTTTGTGGAATGTTTTTCGAAAAAAAAGCTGGTTTTCGAAGGGTGGTTTTTTGGGCCAAAAAAGGGTTTTTACATTTTTGTTTTTTTAATTGCATTACAGAAAATAAAGAACTTTATCACAATATTCTAATTTTCTGAGACAGTCCTGTATATAAAATATATGAAGTGGTTTGTAATGAAAATGTTGTTTAATGTTCCCATGGATTTTGGTATATACATATTTTTTAATCCAAATTGTAATCATTTTCTTTAGATTATTTATTGATGTAAAACAATATCCATGACTCTGATCAACATTGTGGCCTACAGTATTGCATCCACCTCACACACAGACAGACAGACACACAGACAGACAGACACACAGACACACACACAGACACACAGACACACAGACACACAGACAGACACACTCCTCTCACCATGAGTATACACTCCCAGGCCATCCAGCGTATGGGCAGCACGGCGCGGCCCTGGATCCTGTAGTAGTCTCCAGCGTAAAGGTTCCTGCTCATCCCAAAGTCAGCGATCTTGATGTGACGCTCTCCCCCCCGATCATCCCCGCTCTCACCCTTCTCCCCCCCGACCAGAGAGTTTCTCGTGGCCAGATCTCGGTGCACGAAGTTCAACGAGGCGAGGAACTTCATGCCTGACGCTATCTGGCTCGCCATGGAGATGAGGGCTGGGTAACTGAGGGGGATAGAGTTGATAGATTTAGGGAAGGGTATGTTGTCAATATATCGGGTAAAGTGTCCCCTTACACAGGAAAAATGCATAGACATAGTGAAGGAAACTACATAATGGAAAAAAGGGACATATTTGATGATGATTTAAGCAGCACAAATGGAAGAAAGGTGGGATCAAAAGCCTCATGAACAAAAGCAGCGATAAACACTAATAGAAAGATTACTAGAAGTGTAACTCCCAACATAAACCTTTTCTTTTTCGGTTCTGTATCATTTTGATTTGTGTTTGTAGAGATGTTCATGGATTCAAGGATCATTTATCGTCAGACTGCAATAACAGTAGTAGAAGTATTCTGAATTTGCAACAGGGGCATTGTAGACATCAGGGAAAAACATTGTCCATCAACTTTGTGACCACGCATCGTTGATGAAAAACAAAAACAGTATTTTAGTCGGTGGGGTATTTGTTGTTATTCTTGAAAACATCGTAAGACTAGTTAAAAAACAAACATATATGACTGTGTGTTCGCTTATAACCGTGTGTTAGAGCCAGTATTTTGTTTTTATAAGAAAGGCCACCTAAATGTGACGTCTGTAGTCAACACACTAAAAGACTACAATTCCCACGACCCCTGCTCAAAAAGTCAGTGATGGACGACCTGCTAGAAAGACGCCGTAGAGGAACAGTTTTTAACCGTCCAGTTACCCTTTAAGTTATGAAGTTATATGAGCCTTATCAAGAAAGAAAGAATACCTACGTTTTTTGTTATTTTATTTGAGTTTTGCGTATTGAGTATTTGTTTTGACTATTGTAAAGGCCTCTTTTCCTTGTTGCATGTGCTCAGATGATTTGAGGCCAAATATCATATTTAGACTTTTTTTTTTTTTTTTTACATATAATTGTTACGCAATACATGATTGTCACTGAAAGCCTCGTCTATACATTACAATAAAATATAAAAAAATTATTGATTAATTAAATTTGAATAACAATTAAAGTTAGTAACTATTAAAAGGCATAAAAAGACAGACATTTATAATTTTCTTTAATATAAATGTTTCTTCTGCCCGTAAAGTGTCCTAACCAGGCTTCTCTGGATAAGCGCATTTTTAAAACAGTCATTGTCCATGCCGGTTTCAGTTGGATTATTTGTCACAGTTGCTCCGATCAGATCGGTCTCCTCCATTTTGTAGATTATTTATGACTTTTGAATCCACAGAAACACATCGGAAAAATCCGGCTTACTTTGAGCATGTGTTTTAAACAGTTGAATCCCCTTGTGAATTGTTTCCACTTGCGCCGTCCTTTAATTTCTTCATACAGCGGGAATCCAAATGAATGAATCCTGAGTCCAATAACCATCAAAGTCACTCCAATAGTGCTCCTTAATTACGCTTTCATCCTCCTTTAACA